GATAGGGCTGGTAGGGCAGACCCTAGGGATTGAATCCCCAGGCTCTGTGCCTGCTTGTAGGTGCTTTAATCTGCTGAGCCTTTTGGCCAGCCCAGGATGCTTTCTTTTATCATAAGACAAGTACTTGGCATGCATCACCTGTTTTTCTATTACAGTGTTTCCTTGCGTGAATTATGTGAGAATGAAGAAGACAATGTTGTTTTAGCATTTGAGCAACTAAGTGAAAGCTACAAAGAAAAATTTGATAAAGTCTAAAAGCAAAGTTCATGACAACCTCTTACAATATTGCCATGGAAGATAAGCAAGTTAGTTTTGGTTCTGCTTTTTGTGAGAAAACACATGGTGAAGTGTAAAGAAAAAGCCCAGGCACCAAAGTGTGGGATTCACACCTATGCTGCCCTGTCATGAATTCTCTTGGACACGTTATTTAGTGTATCTGAATTTTGGTTTATCTTAATGTCTGAAAAATCGTGCTTACATCAGAGAATATTGGGGTTTGACAAAAAAATGAAAGGATTTTGAATGTAACTAAGAGATAATTTTTCCTCCTTGAGACCTAGACAAATATTAAACTTTTAATAGTTTTCTTCTTTTTCATTATTTCTAAAAAGTTCAGCAAGGCTACAAAGAAATGATTGTAGTACCTTAAATATGAAATATGTTCTTACCAAATAAGACAGATGTGAGTACATAATGTAGAAATATGACTGTTGAGACAATATTTCTAGTAAACCCTGTGCTTTGTAAAAATGCAAGTTTAAGATTCAAATTATGTAATGTTAAAATAATACGCAGCTGATATTTGCTTTATTTTCATTGCACAAGAGTGGCTGGAAAAGAGAAAAGAAATAAAATGAGTTGATTGTCTTTTAAAATTGGTTTCACTGTGAAATTTTTGTGTCAGTCCATTTGCCTAAACCTATGCATTCTGTGTATATAATAATTCATATAAACATTTCTGCTCCTTACTCTCAGACTTGGGTCGCAGCTTTAGGATCTATTTTAGGCACTAATTATCAAGCAGTTCAATCCTTGAATCCATTAAAGCAGAAATTATTCTGTGCATTCATCATAAATAACCATCAAAGGTTAATGTAAAGCAGTACATCATTTATAAGACAAAAAAAGGTCGTGTGCTACAACATCGATTGCTGATGGGCTTTTGAGAAGTGTTGGGAGGTGAAGCCACGTTATGTTAAGTGAAATATTTTCTATACAAAAATGCTGTGTGGTCTCTCTCATATGTGAAATCTAACACAATGTCACAGAAGTTGAGAACACAATAGTGGTTAACAGAGACACAGAGCAGGGCAATGGAGAAAAGGAAGGAGGCTGATTATTTGGCCCTACATTCTAGTGTGATACAGTTGTAAGTTTTGTGTTCTGTTTACTACACAGTGACTATTGTTAACAGTGGTATAATATTTATTTTTCATTGATATATATTTGCCACACATAATAATTACATTCATCTTGGAGAATTAGTATGTAAAAATATTATAGTATAATCACTTTTACAAGCCTTACCCTCCCTACACAAGTTTACTTCCCTGAATCTTACTACTTCTCTTTTATTTTTCTCTTTAAATTATTAGTATTTTGGGCCTTAACATTATAGAAACCATATGATATTTAACAGTGCATAAGAAATATATAGAGAAAAAAAGTAGGGGGGTAATGCTCCACTTTTGAAGGGAACATTATGGTCTCATTATGTCATTATGGTCTCAAGATCCATCAATTTTTCTGCAAAAATCCTCTAATTCATCCTTCTATATAATACCACATTTTCTTTATTCATTCATCTGTTGATGGGCAGATAGTCCACATACTTGATTTAGCCATTGTGAGTTGTGTAAACATGGATATACTTATTACAGTAATATAATAAGTATTTGTTAGATTACTGGTGTTATGGTTTCGATGTATTTGTCCCCCCCAAGCCTCATGCAATCATGGGACCAAGTTCTAGAGTTTGTGATTAAGTCATGATCCACTGGGATTATGGGTGTGAGTGCTGCTGAGATTATGAGCATAAGTACTACTCCCAGCCTGGGCAGATAGTCTGAACAAAATTCAAGGGAGACAGACTTTCTCTCTGTAGCTGTAGTTGCTGTTACTCCTCCCTTTTACTCTTTGCTGTTTGTTGCCACCACGAGTGGTTGCTCTCTGCCATGTGCCACCTGCCTTGGAGCCATCTAAGTATATACTGAAACCTCCAGTAACTGTGAGCTAAACAAACCTTTCAGATATTTGTCCCAACAAGGAGAGAAGAGTAACTGAGACAGCTGGCTTTAATTATCTCAGGGTGATACCTGGAAAAAGATATAGCCAAGCCAGGTGGAGTTTCTAGCAGGAATATACATACTGGTTTTCACCGTGGTTATATTACTATTTTATATCCCCACAAACAGTGTAGAATTCTTTTACCCCCAAACCACCTCACCAACACTTAGTTTTTTGTCCTTGATGATAATCATTGTTCCAGGCCAATCCCATATTAGGATGTGATCTCCCATTTTTTTGTACTGTATTTTCTTTAGTTCCTTATACATTATAGATATTAATTCTCTGAGTAGTGAGCAAGCGTTTTTTTTTTTTTTTTTTTTTTTTTTTTCTCATTCTGTAGGTTGTCTCTTTGCTGGCAATTTTTCTTTGTTGTGCAGAAAATTTTAAATTTTATTTAATTCCATTTGCTTACTTAGAATCCTGCATCTTGTTCAAGTCCTTGTTTATGCCTACATCTCCAAGAGTTTTACTACGGATTTCTTCAAGCATATCTAATTCTCCATTTGGCTCCATTTTAATACAGGGTGAGAGCTGTGGTTCACTCTTCTGCATGTCAACAAGTTTTATCAGTGCCATTTATTAAAGAACAATCTTTACGTCAGCTTATGTTATGCCTCTTTGTCAAAAGTCAGGTGGCTGAAGGTGACTGGGGTTGTTTCGCATTTTCTCTTTCTTTGGTCAGCATGTCAGCTTTTGTACCAGTGCCATGCTGTTCTTTTTTGTATAATGTGTTTTGCACAGGGTCTCAGACTTGTGCTGATCCTCCTGTTTTCAGTCTCCCCAGTTCTGGGATTACAGGCAGGCACCACACACCTGGACTTGGTTGCCAGCTAAGCATGCCCAGGGCTGGTGCCAGTGCAGCATATGGTACTAGAGATCGAACCCTGGTCCCTGCACTTGCCTAAGCAGGTGCCTAAGTCTGCTGAGCTATGTATGCTATTTTTACTGCTATAGCTTCATAATATAACTTGAAGAACAAGATTGTGATGCCTGCTGCTTTGATCTAGTTGTTTGGGATTACTTTTGTGTTCTGTCTTCTGATTCCATATACATTTAATTTTTTTTCTATATGTGAAAAATTTTGATGGTATTTTGGTTGGAATTTCATTAAAACTTTCTATCACTTTTTGGGGCTAGGGAGGTATCTCAGCAGTCTAAGTGCCTGCCTCGAAAGCACAAGGACCTGGTTTTGATCAGCAGTACTGCATGCTGTGCTGGCCCAGGAACCCTAGGTGCGCTGTGCCAGCCAGCAAATGGGGTAGCGCATGCCTATAACCTCAGTGCTGAGGAGGCTGAGACAGGATCACTATGAGTCTGAGCTGTGTAGTGAGACTGTACAAAAACAAAAACTAAAAGAAATCCAACAACTCTATATCACTTTTTTGTTATACAACCATTTTGACAATATTTTCTGCTTATTCAAAAAACAGAAGCTGGCTTTCCATTGTCTGATGTCCTAGTCAATCACTTTTTCAGAGGAATATAATTTTCATTATAGAGGTCTTTCACTTCCCTCATTAAGGTAATTCATACATCTTTAATTTTTTAATGCCTTAAAGCTTTTATTTTTTATCAGTTTTTATTGATATGTTTTAGATATACATAATGATCACATTCATTGTAGAGAATTTGTACCTGTACATGATGGAGCTTTTTTCTGTTCACCTGCCCTGTCTTCAACCCCTTTTTCTCTCCCCATTTACAAAAATTTTGTTTCCATTTTTCCTTCCTTTTTTATTTCCCTTCTTTTCTTACCTCTTGCCATCCCTTGTTTCCATCCCTATTTGAACATTTTCTTCCTATTTCATAATACCTGTTATACATTTTTGTGCTTTTTTCCCACACTTTTGGTTTTTCAACTAGAGGAAAAAACTGTGGCATTTACACATCTGTGTCTGATTTGTTTCACTTAGGAGTGTAGTCTCAAGATGTATCCATTTTCCTAGAAATGTCTCTAGTATATTCTTCTTTATGGAAAAGTAGTACTCCACTGTGTGAAAAAAAAAAAAAAAACCACATCTTCTTTATTCATTCACCAGTTGATGGTCAGTTGGGCTGTTTCCAAAATGTGACTATGAACCATGCCTCTATAAACATATGTGTGTATATATTGCTGGAATATGATGCTTTTAATTTGTTTAGGAAGATACCAAGAGAGGAAATATGAGGGTCAATAGAAACCTCTAGTTGTAGTCTTTTGAGAAATCTCCACACTGTTTTCCATGGTGTTCACACCATTCTAAGTGCCCACCAACAGTGAAGGAGCACACCTTTTTCCTAAAAGCCCAGTCAGCATTTGTTATTGGTTAATTTCTTAATAATAGCCTTTTTTCCCCCCTAGAGTGAAATGGAGTCTCAGCATTGTTTTAAGTTGTATTTCTCAAATGACCAGTGATGTTGAACATTTTGAAACTTATTTATTTTCTGTTGTACTTATGCATCTGAGAACTGTTTGCATCTCAGATACCCATTTTCAGATTGGATTTTTCAATTTGGGGGAGTCTAAGTTTTTGAGTTATTTATAGGTTTTCAAGAGCTACCCTTTGTCTCAGGAATAGCTGGAAAACAGTCTTTCTCATATTGTGGGTTGTCTCTTCACTACTCTTTTAGTGGTTTCACTTGCTGTGCAAAAGTTTTTTAATAAGATGAGATCCCACTTGTTGATTCTTTGTGATAGTGCCTGTGCAGTTGGGGTTTTGCTCATAAAGTCTTTACCTATACTAATGTCCTTAAAAGTTTTATATATTCTTTCTTCAGCAGATTTAATGTCTCTGTTTTAATATTTCAATCTTAAATCCATTTTGACTTTAGTGCATGACAAGATATATGAGTTCAATTTTAATCTTCAGCAAATGCAAAGCAGTTTTTCCAGCACCATTTATGAAAGAGGCTATCTTTTCTTCACTGAATGTGTCTTGAATCTTCGTCAAAGATAAGGTGCCTAAATGTCTAGAGTTGTTTTTGTATCTTCTAATGTATTCCAACGATCAAGTCTTTTTTCTTTCTTCTTTTCTTTTTTAGACCATGCTGTTTTTATCACAGTAGCTTTATAGTACAATTTCAAGTCAAGGATTGTGGAGCCCCCTGCCTTGTCATTGTGGCCCTAAATTGCCTTTTTTATTCTGGGTCTCTTCTGGTTCTAAATGAATTTTAGGATTGTTTTCTCTAATTCTTTGGGAATTTTGCTGTTGGAATTTTGATCAGAGTTGCATTAAATTTCTAATCAATTTTGGAGGTAGGGTATTTCTTATTATTGGCTTTTTCTACCCAAGAGCAAGGGTTATCTTTCCATCTTCTGATATCTGTTCCAAACTCCTTTTTCAGTGTGCTGTTTTCAATATAGAGGTTTTTCTTCTTTAACTTTCTACATTAGATTGATTTCTAAATATTTCAATTTTTGAAGCTATTATGAAAGGTGATTTTTCCCTAATTTCTTACTTGTGTATAGGAATGCTATTGATTTCTGAGTGTTGATTTTGTATGTAGCTACACTGAAGAATTTGCTTATTAAATCTAGAAGTCTTTTGGGGGTGTTTTGGGGGTATTCTATGTAGA